ATGCGGGCTTGAGGACATCCCCGGCAGGTTAGCAAGGCTTTAGCAACTCACCAAGACCCTGTCCTGTCTCAAAACCAAAAATAAAATCGTAAAGAATGGGGAAGTAGCTCAGGAGAAAGTGCCGTGGTATTCAACCTCCAGAGCAGCAGCAAAAAGTAAAAACAAAATAAACAAAGCCCAGACAGACAGGAGACCCAGAAGAGTGCACCAGGCCCCACAAGGTCTGCAGCCCCTAGACCCGCCAGCCTCCACTCCTCCCCAGCCCACCATTCCTGGGGGTTCAGGAAACTGTCCCTCCTCCTGGGGCACCCCACCCTTGGGCCACAATGGCCTCCACTCAGTCCTGTGAGGGAGCCCTCTAGACGCCAGGCCCCTGCTCTCCTTGGTCTTCTGTCTGGAGTCCGCGCCCTGGCCCCTCTATGCCTGGCCAATTCCTCCGCCTGAGGTCTAGGCTGGAATACCACCTCTTCCAGGAAGCCCTCCTGCCAGCTCCCCCACAACAGCCCCCAGCCTACCCCCCACGAGGACAGCCACACCCCAGTCCCCTCTAGTGCCTGCTGGGCGGCACCAGGGCAAGGAGATACCAGCACCGTGTCTGGCATCAGGGCAGTGCTGGCCAAAGGGCCTAAGAGCCCAGAAAAGGGCACACGTGTGCCCTCCACAACACAGCAGCACCAGACCAGAGCCCCTAGCCATCAGTGACGCTGACCCTGGGGACAACCCAGGGGCCACTCACCCGCCCGTGGTGGGCTGCAGTGCTGCCTCAGGACGCCAGGAGCCAGCAGCTCTGGTGGCAGTGAATTTCCCTCCTCTGCCCTGGTCTCATGAGGGCGCCTCTTGGGCACGCTCTGGGAGGAGGGTCTGGGCCCCTGGTACTGCCTGGCCCTTCTCTGCTGAGGTCATCAATGGCCTTCTGCCTAGGCTCACCTGCCCAGGCCCCCCTTGCTGAGGGCAGGGTTCCAAACCTGACCTCCTAGGAGGCAGTGCAAAGTCCAGTCTGCTGGGAATGAGGTCAGGACACGGAGGACGGAGCGGATGGAGCCGGCTGTGTGACCTTGGGCAAGTCTCCTGACCTTTGGAGGCACCAGTCCCACACCCCATGGAGCCACCCATCTGCCTCCCAGCCCTCCCAGCTCCTGGTCTGCACCAGCGCCCACCCCTCCCCCACCCAGCATTCCACTCGAGGTGATTTATGGCTCCCATCCGCCCGGTGCAGCCTGCAGCCCAGAGCCAGCCGCAGCTCTACTGGGGGAGTCCACTTGGGCGTGTGGGTCTTGTTTTGGTTGGTGGGTCGTGGCCGGGGCAAGGGGAAAGAGAAGCTGGCAGAGCTGGGCCTCTAGAAGCGGGCAAACCATGGAAGGCTGGGGGCTGGGACACAGAACTGTGGGTTCTGGAACTGAGGGAGCACCGCCTTGGATCCAGACTCTGCCATGGCACCTACGTGCACAGGCATGGGGTCCCGGGGAGGCAGTGCGCTCTGCTGGGAGAGGCTCCCCCAGACTGGAGCACACAGGGAACTCTGGGGAGGAAGGCAGGGCGGGTCGGCCTCTTTGTTCTGAGCAAGAGCAGAATGCTCCTGGTGGAGACAGGGGAGGGGGCTCTCCCGGAGATCAGGTGACCAGATCTGGGGGGACAGGGGCACAGCAATGCATTGTGGGGCGGCAGCCTGCAGGAAGCAAGCCCACAAGCCAGCAGGAGATGAGGCTGGATACTCAGGTTCAAAGTCCCCTCCAGCCCGTCCCCTCAGCACCCAGGCTGGGGGACCCAGCCTCCCTGTTGCTCAAGTCATTCTGGAGACCTCTGGGGTTCAAGACGCCACTTTGACCTTCAGAACCGTCCAGCTCTCCCAGAACCCCAGGGAGATGGCTGCCAGCACCCAGAGTGGGCTTGGCCAGGGGCCAGCAGCACAAACTTGGAGGACACTGGTCTCCAATGCACCCGTGACTCTGGACAGGTGCTCCTGGGCCAACCTACTTCCCAAAAGACTCTGCCGGAGCATGAGGCCTCAGTGGACTGCTGAGGTCAAGGCTGCCCTTCCTCCCTTCACTTCCTGAAACCCCATCAGGGACCAGAGTCCCTCCCACCCAGTCCCACCAGGACAGGAGGTCCAAGGGTGGTCAGTGGGAGGGAGATGCGGCCTGCACCCCCTCCTGGCTCCAGAGCAGGGGAGGGGTCTGGCTAGAGCTGAAATGTGCATGCCCGACAGGGGCCCCTGGTCCTCACTGGTGGCCAGGCAGGATGCTGGGTCAGCAGGGTGGATGAAGAGGGGTTCTGAGCTGCAGCCAGGAAGCCAGGAGGCGTGGCCCCTGCTGCCCACCTGCAACAGGCAGGTACAGACTCTGTGAGGACATAAGGGCTGACTGGAAAGGGCAGAGATGGCAGTAGGGCCCTTGGAGCAGGTCACAGGATAGGGACCCTGCAACCCTAAGTGGAGTGCTAGAAAGAACGCCTGCATTCCTGCTAGCTGCATGCCCTGCGCCTGGCACTGCACTGGGACCCCACCCATCATTCTCCATTACTTATAGGAACTAACAAACTGGACGGGAGATGGAGGCAAGTGGGAGAGACAAAGGGTGGGGGTCTCCCGGCATGCTCAGGAGCCTGGTAAAGTCTGAGCACCTGGACAGGGGTCCAGCAAAGGCCCCTTATACTCCCCTCCCAATTGGGGGGCCTGGGAGGCTGGATGCTCTGCCCGCCCATGAGTCTGGGGCTGTCCAGGCCTCCTCAGCCCTGAGCCCAGGCCAGCGACTGGCTGAGCCCAGGGTCAACACCCATGTTTGGCCTGTATGCATGAGGCTTCCGGGAGGGCCCAGGGCGTGCCTACACCATCCTGACCAGCCCTGGCCAAGCCTTCAGAATAGGCAGCAAGGTCACGGGCCTGTCTATAGCTAGGTACAGTGAGATCCTGATGTCAATGATGGGGAGTGAATAAACAAGAGGACCTTGGAGCCCTGCTGGTCTCCTCCACCTGACTGTCCAGCCTCAGAGAAGTATATGGAAGCCTAGCCTCACCTTGGCCCAAGGGGCTGTCAAAAACTAGTCCTGAGGCTGGTGCCTGAGACAAGAGCCTTTGGAGGAAGGGAGCAGGTCAGACACAGCTCTTCAGCCCCTTTTCCACAAGGACTCGGCACATGAAGCCTGCCACGCTGTACCAGAAGCACCCACGTGAGCAACAGAGCACGGCCAGAGTGAAGGTGTGGCCCGTCGGAGATCGTTATCAAGCAGAGTGTGGCAGTCAGGCGTGCAGACGCGCACCTGCAAGCCCAGCTACCTGGGAAGCCAAGGCAGCAGGATCACTTGAGCTCACAAGTTCAAGGCCAGCCTAAGCAGCACCACAAGACCCAGTATCTGTCTGTCTGTCTGACTGACACACACACAGACGTACCGCCGTGGTTTCTAGCTCAGCCTTGCCTTTACACATGAGTGTCCTGGCTCTCCCTCCATTTCTCCTCTCTCCCTGAGAACACAAGCTCTAGGACAAGCAAGCCACCATGCTCGGAGGACACCCAGGCAGCCCGCTCAGGGGCCACAGGGCACCATGGCAAGGGACCCAGGCCTGTGGGAGACCACTTGCGGAAGCGGCTCCCTCAGCCCTGGCCAAGCCTTCAGATGAGGCAGCCCTGGCACCGGGAGCTCCTGACAACAGGCTCAGGCTGTGCTTCCAGGGACTGACAGCTGATTGACATCTGTCATTTAAGTGCTAGGCTTGAGGGCAATCTGCTACAGGACAACAACAGTCAGAGGCAGTCCCCTCGCTGCCTGGGAAGGAAAGCCCCAGGTCCCTCCCCACTGGCCACGCCACGGTCACGTGTGAGGCGGGCTGTGTGGCTGGAGGGTGCCAAGTCGGGAGGCGCCACTCACCTAGCTCGGTGGGCTTCAGCAGCTCGTCCAGCATGTTAAAGAAGGGCAGCTTCACCAGGCGGACTTCTGGTTTGAGGGTCTTGGTGGGCAAACGTCCGAGTCCGTTTAAGTACTTCCCGTAGAGAACAGGGTAGTCAATGTTGGGGCCCGACAGGGGAGTCCTGGGCACTGTGCTGGCCCGGTCGTAGGCCGAGTGCATGGTCAGCGGGTCCAGGGGCCGGTGGGGCTGCGGGCCCGGCTCTGCGCTCTTCTTGGCGTAGCGGGTCTCGTACAGCTCTTTGATCTTCTTGAACAGCTCGGGGCTGCAGTCGAACTGCACCAGCTGCAGGGCCCTGGTGACGAGCTCGTGCTTCAGCCCGCTCTTGCTGCGGCCCACGAATCCCAGCAGCATCTGGAGGTCGGAGACTCGGAAACTCATCACCATGTTCTGAAGAAGAGCAACCACACACATGCTCTCAGAGGCCAGAGCTGGCGACATCAGGGGCGTCATGCGGCGGGGGCTGGAAACCAGGACTGCTGCAAAGTCACACCCCCCCAGGACTGGCAGCTTCTGTGGGCTGCCAGCTCACCCTCCCCCACCGCCCCCCCCAAAACTCCTAGGCGGCACCACTGTGGCAGAGCGCCGGCTCCCCACCCCCACAGTCTAGTTCAGGCGCCCTCTTCAAGTCTGAAAGCACCCCAGACAGGAACTGGGATTCATCCTGCCATGGGAAACGGCCCCTGCCAGCTCCTGGCCAGCAAACACTGACAACCTCTCCTGAGTCTCCACTCTCTTCTTCATGGGCCAAGATAACAATCTGCACCTAGTGGGGACCCTGGGAGGGGCCAGGTGAGGCAACCCACACAAAGCACCCGGTGGGGCGAGTGCTCACCCGGCCTCAGCCACAAACACGCTGCCTGGCGTGGAAGAGTGCAGCCACAGCTACTTACTGCTGTCACCTGCAGGACAGCCGCACACCCCTCACGCTTCGCTCTGAGCCTTAGAACAGCCCTGCCAGGGGAGCAGGAGTGCCCCCAGGGGTGGCATGGGGATCAAGGCCTCACTGAGGCAGGGGATGGCTCCTCTCTGATGCTTCCTCCCCACTGGCACTGACACAGCTGGGTACTGATGAGGCAGGGACTCCTCTGGGTGTTGTGGGCACTGGGCCAAGTTGTCCCATGGGGGGGCACTCTGGGCCCAGCAGGGTGCTAAGCAGATCCTGGTCTCCACCTGCTCCAGGTCAGGAGCTCCCAGTCATGACGGCCATACATGTCCACAGTCACGGGCACTGGCTGAAGGCTGCTGAGGGGCCCAGTAGCCACACAGTCTCATGCCTGGTGCCAGAGTCAGGAAGGGGGATAGGCAGGATCCGGCACTGACTTCCTGTCCAGGTCTCTCTGGCTAAATCAAACAGAGCTCCACAGGTCCCAGTGTCTGACCTGCTGGCTCTTGGGGTACTCTTTCTCAAGAGCCGGCCACCAAAGGCGGTGAGGACTCCCTGAGAGGGATGCAAGCCAAGTGTCCTCAAGGGATGGGCCAGGGATCACCTGCTGAGCCCTTAAACCAGCCTGGGATAGATAAGATGTGGAGGAAGGAAAACCTCTGGGGAAGGCAAACAGCATGTGCAACAAGACTGGTCGGGAGGCTGGCACAAGGGGCCTCATGCTCACAGGAGCCTGCAGCCACAGACACCTGCCTGGGACAGCAGAAGTAGGAGCTTCCAGAGCCCCACCAGGTGTTCACAGAGAGGCCTGGGTGTCAAAGGCCTCTGCAGCCAGTCTTTGGCCACTTAAGAGTGAGGCAGGAGGTTGACGCAGCCCTGTAAGCAGAAGCCTGCTGGCCCCCTACCTTGGGACTGACTTCCTACCTTGTGCAGTAAGAAAAAGACTCGCAGACAAAATGTGTCTCCTGGAAGAGACCCAAGCCCTTAGAAAGGAGGGGAGGTGCTGACAGGTGAGCGCTGACCCTGGTGATCAGCCAAAAGCCCACAGCCCTGCTGACATTATCCACTGGAGCCCCTGTCCACCAAGGTCCAGCCTCTCCAACCAAGCTGGACATCCCAAGCCCAGTGAGCATCCAGCACACCCCTCTCCTGCCATATGCTCTCGACTCGAATTTCTCCGCAGCTGCTGCCACCAAGAAACCTGCCCTTGACACTGAGGAGGGGGGCTGTAGAGGGAGCCAGGGGAGACAAATATTCAGGAAGAAGCCTGGAACACTCCAAGATCACTTCCTGCCCAGCTTCATCCGGATCCGCCTGCCTGTCAGAACTGTGTTTATAAACAGTGCCAGGCCCCGGGAGCCAGCACAGTTTCAACTCTCGACTTGTTTAGGAACCACATGGGGACACATCAGCCAAGACAAAGCAACGGCACCTGGCCTCTGCAGCATGGGCTCCTCTGAGCCTTGGGTGTGTGTGGGGGTAAGGCCCCCTCCATGAAAACGCACATGTGTACCAACACCGCAGACCCCACCCTCAAGCCTTCTTTGGGGCCTCAAGTGAAGGCTTAGACTTATTTACCAATAAGTCCCCACATCCTCCCCTTGGAGCAGCCCTTATGCACACCAAACAACAAAATCTCCAGCCATTCACACGATGAGCTAGAGAAAGCTCCTGAAAAAGGGATGCTTTTCAATGACACTTAAGGTATTTGAGATAGTAGCAAGAGACCCCAAGAGACAGAGGTGCCTAGGGCCTGGGAAGTTATGCTGCAGCCCCAAACTCCCCTCAACAGAGGCTCAGGGCTTAGAGAACTTGAAAGAAGGGTCACCTTGGCTTAATTGGGATGGGGGGGCCCGGCCACCAGAGGATCAAGCAGAGTTCATCATATTGTATTTCAAGGCCCTGGAAGATGTAAGAATGCAGCCCCAGCCCCTCCGCCAAAGTGCGTTGGGGTCCAGAGTTCAGACCTCCTCATCTTCAAGGCAGATCTCTACTTCCCAAACCCCCCCCCCCCAGAGGAAGTGTGTATGGTATGGGTCTGGGGGAGTACTCTGGGGGGGCGGTATACCCTATTATCACAGAGCCTGAGGGTTGCCTTTTGGCTCCCAGTGGGCAGAGAAGGATGGAAGCAAGGAAAGGGAGGAGTGAGGAGGAAAATGCACTGACAGGTGCACTGACCAGAGGGAGGGAAGACCAAAGGCTGGTATCCCCAGCTCCCAAGGAGCAGTGGTCTTGGGCACAATTCTGAAGCAAGGATCAGACACAAGGATGCTGGCCCCCCACCTGGGTCCCAGGGATGGAGATGTTAAATGAGGTCCCAAGCTAGGAGACGGAAAAAGCAGTTACAGAACACTGACCCTAGACCAGAGAATGGGGCACAGAGTGAGAGCCTAAAGAGATCTATCCTGGAACCAGTTGGAGACCCTCCAAAGATCAATATAAGAGAACAAGCAAAAAAGGGAAGTCAGAGCAAGGACATAAGGGCTCTGGGCCTGAGCAAGGAAGAGGGAGTCTGATCTAACAAGCGGACTTACTGGAGAGGGGAGTCTGAAGATTACCTCTAGGACAGCACCTGGTTCAGGAGTGCGGAAATGTGCGCTCCCCAAGGGAGAGGTGCGCTCCCCAGAGTCAGTCAGAAGGCAGAGCTCAGGATCCAAGGCTGAAGAGGACTTCGGAAGACCTCTGAGCAAGAACGGGTCAGCGCTCCACTCGATGGGGAGGGCAAAGGGTGGGCCCAGTGTCCCCCAGGTGTCACGAGGGGGCGGGGCTCTGGGGTTCACTCTGAGGCTGAGGTTCCAAACCGAACTCGCGGCGCAGACGCCGCGAGGACGTATGCGGTGTGGGCTAGTTTCGGACCCTGGCTCAGCCACCCAGGTGCTGACAGGGGTGACAGAACACCACTTCGGAGGTCCGGGGACACTCTGAGCAGGGAGTCACCGACCCCAGGCTGGGCTGCACGCCGGGGAGATGAGACCCGTTTACAAGCTCTCGGTGCGAGCAGACAGAAACTACCCACGGCCGAGAGCCCAGAGCCCTGCTGGGGCGCGGGGTGCCCACCCGCCCCGCTGTCCGCGGGGACTGAGCC